GGGCGCCCGAAGCGTGCCGGAAGACACCTTTCCCCCAACCCAATAAACAGAATACGGCGTTATCATCGCAAAGCTGTTAACCCAGGGCTGGGCGTTAGGTTTGTGTTGGCTCTGCCGTTTTCCACCGCATGCTCCTCAAGAAAGGGCCGGGATTTTCCTTAAACCCCCTTCTTGGCAGCAACTTGGTGCGGATAACACTTCCCACGGCGCGGCCGCACGAGCCCCAACTTAGACAAGGAGAACACCACACCACCGCATGGCATGGCCGGCCCTGGCGTTACCAAGGCCACTATGTGGCGCGCACCGCTGGCGCCAGGATTTCCCCGACAATACGCGACACGCTGCGCCCCGGAGCCGCGAAAGGGCAACGCACACCAATTTAGGACAGCGGGCACGCAAACCCAAACCGACCAACGCACCAATCATGATATCCTTTTTGTGGCACCATTAGTTCGGAGCGCTAGACGGGGGCGACAAAACCAATTAGAAGAAATGCCGAAACCGACTGAAATGAACGCTCGCACAGTCAGGGTTCTGGGTCCTTTTTTTTTTCTCGCTGCACCTCCCTGCTGCGTCGGCCAAAATCACTCCGGAGGACCTCGATCAACCCAACGCAAACACAGACGGGTCACAGCTCATAGGCGCAGACCCCAACGCACACGCATTGGCATGGGACTACGAAGTCCCGCCTGACTCTCGAGGTGATACCATCGTGCAATGGTGCATTGATAATGAGTTCCTCATTGCCAACACTGGAAATAGGACACGGTACACCGAGAGGCATAGAGGCTCCGCGCCAGATGTAACACTGGCAAAAGGCTGCGCAGTGACAGATTGGGCAGCGCGACCCACCCCCGACAGCGACCACTACATCATTACTTATACTGTCCAGGTGGGCGAGGATGACACTCCGCTAGAAGCGCCGCGGATCTATAAGACCTTGCTTACATGGAAGAAGGCAAACTGGTCGAAGTTCCGCGCACTGACCAACTCACACTGCAAGCTAAAACGAGGCATGAATCGCATAGACACCATAGAGAAGCACATCACATCTGGCACACGGCTTGCCACAAAGGCAGCAGTGCCGGAGGGCAATCGACGCCAGTCCCCGTTCTGGACCCCTGAGCTGGCCGACTTTGATAAGGCAACCGCCAGGAAACCCGACGCGCAACCCCCCACGCTTAATCCATTCAGCGGCCCAACATTAGACGCAGATAAATTCTTCGCGCATTTGCCACTGGCCGGTGGCGCACGCCCCGCTCGAACCTGGAGGCGCCGGGCGGCAATGGCCGGCACACCATGCGGCGCGCATAAACCCCCCCCGCAAAACATTTGCCAAGTCAGATGGGGTTGCGGTTTCAAAGCCCCAACAGATAAACCACCTGGCCCTCACGTATGCCGCAATAGCGTAGAGATGCGCGCGATCCTATTCCCTGCCCCCAATTAAAACAAGGGATGAGGATTTTCAACCAATAACAATGGCTGAACTCGATTGCGGCCGGCTTTCCCTTCCTCTTGAATCCGCACCGGGACCCGACATGATACATGGAGAGGCACTGCGACACCTTGGAAAATGTGCGAAACACTCTGTCCTGACGCTCTTCAAGAAGGATCTGCGCACTGGCGTAGTTCCGCAAGGCTTGAAGAAAAGGTTCGCAATCCTGGTTTTCAAACAGGGGAAAAAAGCGATTCGCATAGAGCCGCACAGGCCAGTAAAGCTCACAGGTGGCCTCTTCAAACCCACAGGGTGTACAATTGCAGAACGCATTAGCGGTGATGATATAGGGGCCCCCTTATGCTAAAAAAGTCCGGGTTCCAACAAGCCCACTCCACATTGAACCAGCCATTTACCTTTGAGCGGCCATGCATCGCCTGACCCCTGGCGGCAGAACAGCCGCAGCGTTAGGGGATTACACTAATTTACTCAGCACGGTATATAATGATAAAATGATGCTCGAAATGCACCGATTTGGAATATCACAACACATCGCGCGTTGGTAGGCACNCTTTCGGCGCAATAGGACAGCAGCATTAGTTCGCGCAAACAGGACGCACCCCTCTCCAGCGTCCTTCTCGTAAGGAGTCCTATAAGGTACGGTTCTTGGGAGACTCATGATTATAATTCCCATGAATTCTTTCAGCATACGATGGGCTGAAGCCCCGATGTTACTGGACAACTTCTTAGTGAAATGATTTCACCCCGGTTGCCCCACACAGCGACCCAGAGATGATGGCCACAACCCTACAGCAGGGACTTGGTGCGACGGCACCCTGAACAAAGCAATGCCTCGTGGAGGCGGATGCGCACAAAACAAGGCATGCCTTCGCTAGGGCGAACAATATAAACCCCCTTGCTCTCCTCTACAGCGGCACACCCGTCACCATGAAGAGGCTCCCAGCTACGCTGAGAATCGCGTTCCAGAGTTACAGCGGCATGGGCCCACACAGAGCCCACCTGCAGAAGCAGGGCCGCCAACGGCCCATGCAGCTAAAAACCGTTTCATCGCGCAGCTGGTGACCAAAGCAAGACACATTGACTGCCTTCTAGTTGGCCCTGGTGCACGCCGAAGCAAGTTATGGTAAAGAGGTATGGTACTTGGACCGATCACTCACCTCGCGATCCGCACGCGATGCTGGGCAATACAAAGCCTGTACAATGATTACCGGCATCCCAAAGTCAGCTGTACAGAACATGCTTTACCCGAAGCCAACCTTCAGCCGCTAAGTACAACGGCACTAACCCGTAGCTTTAAATATATGCTCTTGTGCGAAACGCGAGGGGGAGCTGCGCGTGACAGCGCAAAAGTGGTATACCCGACCGATCGCCCCGCAAGACAATTGTATGCTACCATCGTGGCGCAATACCCAGGTCCCCATCTTGAAGCCAGGGTGCCGCTCCAAACGCCCTTCGCGCTGCGATGGGCATCCGGAGCCCCCTCACACACACAGCTCGAGGGTCTAACCGCTGCGGACCTGGAAGGTGTCAAGCTTCAAACATGCACCAGGTCGATTTCCTGACGCTTCCGCAGGAAAGGTTCTACACCACCCAAGCAGCACCACCACGAACTATGGGAAAGCGGCTCTGTCGTTTTTGGAATAAAATCCGGCGAAAGCAGCCATAATTTATCTTAACGTGGACTTCATTATTCGAGATAAGGTAAGTGCTGGACTAAGAGAGTGCAGCTACTGTAAATAAGTTATCACCTTAAAAGTTGGCCTGCGGACTTTGCTGGAAACCACTCCCCGTCGCGGCACCTGATCGTACACAGTCCCCGTCTTCGCCTAGCACCTGCCACTCCGCATGGCACTCCAAGCAGGCCCCCTACGGGTAGCAGGCCCCCTACGGGTAGCAGGCCCAATGTTGTGCAAGCTATTAAGCCTTTTATCAGAACTACAATACCGCAAGGCACGCATACAGGTACAATATGAAACCCTAGGCAAAATTCCCCCAGCCACACTTCCGACAAGGAAGCGTCACTGGCTTCCTTTTGCGCTGCCACATCTCACCGCTACAGCTGGCTACTGCGAATGCGGCGGCCCAACGCGCCAAATGCATACAGATAGCGTAACTCAATAGAACCACATCCTTTTCTCAAAAAGTCTAGAATACAAAGGCCCGCAAGCAACCCAGAGGCAGCACCGCTGTTTCACCATGGCCGGGTCGGCTGCCCGGTTGTTATTTTTTCTCTTACCGGAACGCCTGGCTGCACCAAACCATCTCCGCCTCTAAGAGGTAGGCGTTTAAAGATAAAAGGTTTCTCGTACCGACGGAACTGCTACATGGGGGAGTTCTTATTACATAGGTGGTTGTCAATGTTCAGCGATGGTCGCACTGCCGTGTCGCTGGGTTTCTTGAAGAGTCAGTGGTGCAGGGCACTTGCAAACCACATGCCTTTGCAAGGGGGCACGCTGACTTATGTGGTAGAAAAATGCCCATTCTGTCAGACTGCCTTTCTAGGTTTTTGATACATGAGAAATGGCAGTTAAGCACCTTAAACCGGGTTAGCTACCTCTTTTTTCTGGGCCAATATGCGGCCACTGCGAGGCGCTCTTCCTGCGTCGAAGGTGCGTGTCGCAGTACAGAATGTGACGCGAGCTTTTTCTCGATTCTCTGAGGCATCGAAACGGAAGTGTGAGGCGCCGCTCTTTCTTCCTCACAAATTTACGGATTGTTGCTTCATTTAAGGGGCACATCACCCGCAGTAATCGGTAGATTGGCCACTTCGCCCGGAGCAGTTGACCCACGTATTGAGTGGAAGTCTGCAAATTTTTCTGGAGAGACGTTGCGGAAGTAGCACTGGCTAAGCAATCTCTCCCAGAACCATGTGGGTGGGCTTCGAGTTTAGACCCCCTGCACCTTGCACGTGCAAGGTGTAGGGATTCTGTTCGATCAAGAAACTCATTGATAATGAGGTCTTCCTATTAAGATCAGAGGGATTAATACTGTGTGGGGGGTGACGATGGATATCTTGATGTGTGCTGTGCTTTAGCTATTTATGAACTGCGCAGTGAAGCGTGCCAGCGGGTATGTGCGCCATAGTGATGCGATGCAGTTCTCTGTATACAAACTTGCTCGTAGTCTGTATGGCACATTGATCTGCTAGACCATGTGCGCGTATTCTACAATTCCCGCAACAATACTGTAGATGAATTGATTATACCCCACGCCGTAAAGTTAAGAGGTGGTTCCAGATTCGGTTGCCTCTCAAGTCAGTTGAGATGCGCAGTTCCTTTTTTAAGGCTGCTAGGGTGGACTGGCCGCCCGTCGCTACAAGAAGCCTTTTCGTGATGTGGTGGATGCGTGGGGTGACTTGTTTTTCTAGGGCCAGTCGTATCGCACACGGTTTCGCAGGTTGGCTACAAGGGCATGTTTTCCAGTTTAGGCTAGCTTTCTCACTGACTTTCGAGGAATCAAGTAATGAAAGCGGCATTCCAACTCCTGTCAGTAGGGGTGCGTCGATGCCGCCCTGCGCCACGAGTGCCCACAAACGGCGCCGATGTGTCTCTAGCGGCTGTTGGCTCAAAGCGCGTTTTCTTTTATTAGCTCTTCTGCGTCAGCTGTGAAGTTATCTTTTGGCAAGCCTACTCCAATTATTCCTTTGTATGCCGAGGAGGTGAGCCGCGAGGAAGCAACCTCCAAAAGAGGCGCCCTTTTTGCGTGGTGCCGATTCACTGATATGAAAGTCTTTGATGTATGTGTCCAGAAAGACAAATAAATGAACTTGGCAAATTGGCGACATGCGGAAACCAGAGCGGGAAGTAGTTCTGACAGTGGTCTTACTATCAAATCCGGAGCAAATATACATCACTTATCAAAAATGCAGAGCCTCGCCCGTAGAGAGGTAATGTGCAATGGGCGGATGTTTGCTTCCAGGAGAGCAGATTCCAGGCTTATCGTCCCGCCAATTCCGCTGACAACACGTGCTGGAGAAGTAGCGGTCTCTTGCAATATGCGCGCGCGTTGTCTATTGACAACGCTGCTGAAGAAAATTCTATAGGGGAATTTCGATGCACTGCACTTGGCGAAAGAAGCACCTAAGTTATGCAGGCTTGGGTAGGCCAACTTCCGTGCGATGGGCCGTACCCGGGAAATCTAATACGCGGTTTTTTGTTGCGAGGTTGCGAAAAGAATGGTCTAAGCCTCCGTTCATACAGTATTGATTTTGCTCTTTTCATATTATTTTATCTCGCACAGCTGCCTCCTAAGGGTAAGTTTTAGAAAGTATACCCAACCCATCCCTCCAAGCCCCGCGCGGGAGGCGGGCTAAAAACGCTTTGAGCACCCCCGTGCCGTAAGTAGGGGTAAAATATAAGGTTTTGAAAGTATCTTGTTTTGCCGTAAAACTCAGGGCATAAACCAATGCAGATCGAAGGGAAAAATGATAACACAGCTGTTTCGTTATCTCTTTTTCAAACTGCCTCTGCTAGAGAAAAGCGAGGACGTGACCATTCTCTGGCGCATGACTTTCCCACATTACCCCCACCCACACCAAAGCAACACCACAAACTCTTTATAGCGGGACAGCCCAATAAGTGCAGGCCCGTGTCTTCGCAAGGTGCGCGTTTGCTCCGTTTCGCAGCGCCCGGCCCGAATCTATGCCTAACCATGCGGCACCTTGTGGGCCCATGCCCTCCGCACTTCTGATTCCCCACGTCGGGTATAGAAAGTTAACATGGGATATTCCCGCAGGGGCATCGCCCTTTTGCCGCCAGCATTTTCCCTTGCGGGCACCCCGTTTCCCCCAGAAACTTCCGCAGTGTGGCCAGGGTTGGCCCATGCGACCAAACCATGCTACGCCCGAAGCGCGTTGTTTTTTCCCCCTTCTGCCCTCGCAGCGGCGGCAAGGCGTTTTCCCTTTCCCTTATCGGCGAATCTGCGGTTACGGAAGCGTTCTCTCTTTTATGCTTTCGGAATGTGCGATAATGCCCCATCGGTTTGTTTCGGCTTTATTGCGGCTGCTTTTGAACGGGGTGTTCATTTCTCTCTCTCGATCGCCTTGGGGGTTTCGGTATGGTCCAGTCTTGTTCTTGGGCCCCTTTGGCCAGTCCATCGGGATGTTTGCATTTCATGTGGATAGTTATTCTTTCAGCAGTGTCACTGCTTTCTGGCATATCGTACGGCACGCTTTGTGTCGTGGTTGCGCTGTGCGTGATGACCCTTCTGGGCGGCGATGCTTGGAACAGGTGCGGGGGGGGGGGGCATCCGCACCTTAGCCAGGCCTCGGAACCCACAGCATTTGCATTTGAATGGCCGGCTTTTCGCCTTCCCTACAGCACCACTGCCTCTCACACCCATGAGCGTTTACGCTCTGCGTTTTGCACCACAGGTAGCACAAAGCAGTGAAGGTGCCGTTTTGGCTATTTTTGTGGTTAATACTGCGCCGGGAATAGATACCAAGCAAATTCTCCTCGCGCTTTTTTGCGATCGGATTCGGGCTTACTTGCGTCGCGGGTGTTGTAGTTTTTTGGCCTCAGGCGGGGAGGAGGTTCTGGTGGGATCTCCGGCGGCCACATTGCACCAGGCAATTCAAAACGCTTCGCCGATAGCCAAAGAGCATACAACACACCAGATGTAAATTTTGATGCGAGTAGGATGGTCAATTCGCCTGCCAGTTTTGTTGCGGATATTGTGTAGCACACGCACGTGACCTAGCAGACCAGCATGCCACACTTGCCATGACTACAGGTCGTCACACTCAAGATAGAATAGAAATTGTATGGCACAGAGAAATACCAACGTGTTTTGCCACTCGCCTCACAAGAGAGTGGGGGCGTAAAATGCGTCAAGAAACTCACTGTTAACTCCTGTGCGGCACGAAACCCTCTGACCTCAGTGGGAAGCATCCCATAACAAATAAATTCCTTGACTGCACAGAATTGGCACATCGTGCACGTGTAAGATGTGGGTGGTCCAAGCTCTAGGGGCGCCTGCACTGGTCTGTGAGGGACTGCTTTAGCCAGTGCCATTTCTTCAATCTATCTCCAGCACGCCCCGCCCCTATGCATGAAATGCATGATCTAACTGCACCGGGTGGAGTGGTCATTTTGCCAATCACTGTGATGGGTGCATTGTTCACGATGCACTAACCAGCCGTGACTCAACAAAGGGAAAAATGCCCATACTGTGAGGCTACCTTGCGTGGTTTCACAAATCTGAAAAACCACTGCAAGTCCTTTGGTCTGGAACGACCGCCTCCCCCGCCTCAACACAAATATGCTTACTGCGAAGCAATCTTCCCTAGTAGAAAAAGCGCCTCACAGTACAGAAATGGATGCGCGCATCTCCCTGATGGCATACGGCATCGGACCACTAGTGCGAGACACCGTTCTTTGCTACCGCAAAGCCAGCTTGCTTCTTCTTCCGCGGAAGAAGGGCCGCAAGAATCCCTATACCATCTGGTTTTCGAATCCTCAGGCACTCTTGCAGTGCGTCAAAAGTTCAGCATTCATAACGAACTAAATGTAAAAAGCACTCTTCTTTCGTATCGTGGAAAGGCCTCATCTTGGCGCCAAGGTCTGGGACTAAGTTCATTACTTAGGAAGCTAAATTTCCACACCTGCAGCACTGAATCCGGCTTAGTTCGGCCTGCGCCGTGATACGGTCGCTACTTATTCGGATAGCGGAGTTAAGTACCTTACAAATAAGGCGCGCCTTGTAATGGGTAAAGTGTCTGAACGGAGAGACTGCAGGGAAACACACGCTACCAAACAATAAGTTTCAGGGTCGATTACCTGATCTATCGGACGGGGAATCCAATGCCATACGCTACAGTTCTCCAGGGAACTGTGTCATGGTCCGGATAAAATGCAACTGTCTTCCAGGGAAGAAGCGGAGGACCCAACCGAAGACTGCTCCTCTGGAACGCCGTGCTACTAGTGTCGCCTATGCCCGTATGTTGAAAGATCTTCATGATCAAGAGGTTTTAGTGGGTGTGGGTGGGTTTCTCCGCCACTGAGTCTCACATAATCTGCCCTGGCACGGCAGATGTGCGCAAATGTATTTTCCCCCTCCTCCTTCAGGCGGCGACAACAGGTCGTAAAATTGCACGTGGAACAACAACAACTTATTGGGCTGTCCCGCTTTAAAGGGTTTCTGGTGTTGCTTTGGTGTGGGTGGGGGTAATGTGGGAAAGTTACGCTTCAAAAAGTATACAACCAAAAAAAAATATTATTTCAGAATGTGCCTTGTACGGCCGGTGATACTTAGATTAAAAACTATTTAAGACACTTTAACCTCATCATGTCTTATGCAAACGCAACAAATTTCCAGACGAAGTGGTTATAGGACTTGTTGTGTCGATAATGGGTATATCCGCTAGTCTCCTGGTTGCTTGTCTTCAAAAGAAAAAAATTCTTCCTTGTGTTTGTTGTTTTCCGTATTTACTTGAGTGGTGTGGCGTAATGTGGGTGGCCAAGAGAAAATAAGGTAAAAGACGTTTTCCGCGAAGCAAAAAGCGGTTTTGATCTGTAAAGGTATTGCTGTGACCCGCTAAAGGTTTACGGGGGAAGGGCTATCCGGTTCTTTTGGCGGATTGCGCCGGATAATTATTATAGGCCTAAAACGGCCCTCACCCTCAGAAGGAATGGCTTCTGTGGCCATCAATTGTTTAACACCGCGCATTGAAGGAAGCCAAGTGTGTGTCCGTATGCGCTCGATTGCGCCACTCTTTTCCACACTTTATTCAGTTCAGGCGGCAGAAAACAACCGCTCTCTATACTAGCAGCGCCCGTATTCACAACAGGTGCGGGTAACATTCCGGGGTTGCGAAGGGGCACTAGAGGCATGCTTCCCTTACCATTGGTGTCGGTAAATGCAGTCGCCAATAGTCTCGATTTGGCTTACTGGCTGCGCATTGTGCCATTGGTAATAGAGACCAACGACGTTCCAGCATTCACGCGGATGCACCCAGCATAAGAACAAAAGGGACCTATATTTTGAATAGTCTTCGATTTTTCAATGGGAATAGAAAGACGAGAACAAACTCTCATCAGCGAGGACATGCCAGTTGAACTTGACAATCTGGCACTGCAACTCGATTAGGTCACTGCCGGCCGCCGGAAATAAATTGCGAAGCCCCAAAAGCAGATTTTCCCCTAACATTTACGACAGCAAAGCATGCCTGGGCCCACGATCCGGGGAGGAGCCTTGGGCCACGCGGCGGCGGCAGCAGCCGAACGCCATCCCGGCTTTTTTTGGCGAACCGGCTTGGCAGATACGTCGGTGTGATGGAACTCGCTCGAAGCGCGGTTCCGGTATTGAACTGCGCGGCGACAAATCCAGTGCAGCAGCGTCTTTGGCGCGGCGTGTGTGTTTGGGGGGGGGGCACTAGGCCGCAGTGGCGTGGGCCCGTCGGTGACACCACGGCGGGGCGGGACACGGTGCCTTTTTCTAGAGTCGTGGCATTTTGTGGCGCGCTGCTCCTGCCCTCTTGGCTTCGCGTGGCGGAGCGGGTGGGGCGCCCGCCCCCACAACGCGCTGTCCCGGGCGCTTTTCCCCTGGATAAGATCAGGCGCTGGCTGACCCCAAAGGCGCGGGTTCCTTCAGAAAAGGTGGGGGTCGCCATTTGTTCCCCAGCGGTTCGGTGGCGGAAGGCCTGGGACGAACCTCCGCATTGCGGGGGGGGGGCGTGACGAGGGCGAAGGCGGAAATAACACAGGCGGCTTCGGCCAAACCCTAAACGGGGGGCGCCGCGGCGGCGGCGGCGGCGGTGTTTTTTTGGGGGGCGTTTGGTCTGTCGCGGCCTTTTCCGCGTGGCCAGAGGCCGGGGGCGCCAAACAGAATCGCGAAGCGGGGCCCCGCAGCGTCACGTTTTTCGGCGGCCCGGCGCGTTTAATGAGGGCGCCGCTGCTTTATTTTTGTTTTACCCCAAGGGGTCTTTCTTCCAGGCGGCATTTGCAAAAAGCCTGCTGTGGGTTTTTCTCGCGGCGGGAAATCGGGGGGCTTATCGGGTTGTGCGTTCCCTAATGGGGGAAATGTGGCCCGGATGCCCCCCACGCCATTTCAGGGGCGCTGG